GCGATGGGTGAGGCCACGTCCTGCTGCCAACCCAGCTGAGCCCTGCGAGTCGCTTCTGGTGAGTCAAGGGGCCACCGGGGATGTCCCCCCAGCCGGACACTATCCCCAACCCCTGGAGGTGCGTCACCTCCCCTTCCTTGCTCCCCCAGCCCCAACGGCACGGGGGTCTGGAGGGTCTCCAAGGTGGGAGGTGACCACCCCGTGCCCAGAGAGGATGACCCAGGTGCAATCACTGTCACCCACCATCCCCAGGGCCACCTGGAGCATCTTCACCTGGGGCAGCGGCAGCAGCTGAGGACCCCGGCGTCTCCCGGCCCTTCCTGGGGCGGGTTTCGCGTGTGTGCCAGGGCGTGAGCCAGGCGCCGGGTGGACGGGGTGGGTGACCCGAAATTCCTGCTGAGCTCAGCAGCGGTTGCCAGCCCCCGGTATCTCTTTCCGGGAGGTTCAAGCCATCTTCACCGATGGTTCTCCTCCCCTGGGAGAGCCGTGATTGAGCTCCGGCACGTCCTGCGGCGAGAAGGTCCTGGAAGGATTTTAGGCATCGATGGGTCCTCCAAAGCCACCCCAGCCCGGCCATCCTTGATGCTGGTGGGAACAGAGCTGCAACGTGGGTGCAGGAGCTCCAGGGGTGGTGTGAAGGCACCTCCGTACCTCTTCAACGGCCCCTTTGGCAGGGCCGGGAGAGGAGATGAGGCTGGGAGCAGCTCAAGGCAATTAACAGCCTGACGAGCAATTAAGGGTGGAGAAGCCCAGGAGCTGAGTCCTGACGAAAGGAAAGACCGGGCTGGGATGAATCACGGTTTGGAGATGCTGATCTCGCTCTCTGCTGGTGGCAAGAGGAAGCCTGGGGCTGGGTTTGGTCCTAAACCTGGAGGTGAAGCTGGAACTCTTGGAATGGCAACTGTCCCAGCAGATCCATGTAGATCTGGTCTGTGGAGATCCTCACTGAAGAGGTTGTGGCCTTGGGGAGCTCATCTGTGGAGGCCTGGCCCATGAAGATCTCACCTACCAGGATGCCATCCAGTGGAGATCCCATCCCATGGAGGTCTGGTCCATGGAGACCTCATCCACCAGTTTCCTGTTCATGGTCACCTTCTCCCACGGAGATGTGGTCCACAAAGATCCCGTCCACCAGGATCCCATCCACCAGGATCCCAGCCCATGGAGGTCTGGTCCACTAAGATCCCAATCCCTGAAGATCTGGTCCATGGAAATCCCATCCATGGAGGCATGGTCCATGTTGATCTCAGCTACACGGATCCCGTCTGTGGAGATCTTGTCCGTGGAGCGGTCAGCTGCGGAGTTCATCTGTGGATATCCCATCCACGGGGATCCCTTCTGCGGAGCACCTGGGCCGTGGTGATTCAGGTGGAGAGACGTGGTGGGCAGAGATCTCATTCACTGGGATCCTGTCCGTTGAGATGCCACCCATGAAGAGATAAGACATGGTGTTCCAGGGCCGTGGAGGTCAATTCCGCAAGGCTTCCAACCACGGGGATCCCGTCCTGGGGATCCTGTCTGTGGGGATCTACCCCACAGATACCATCAGCCGTGGAGATCTGGTCCGCAGAGGTCCCATCCATGGGGATCCCATCCATGGGGATCCGCTCTACAGACATCGTTGGCCAGGAAGGTCCACAGAGATCCCATCCAGGAGGATCCCTGATCCCCTGGGGACACGAGGGGACTGGGATACTTCGCAAGGTGACATGGAGGCTCCCAAGGGGAACAGAGATCCTGGGTGGGGACAGGGGACACGAGAGGTCATGGGGGCACACGAGGTACCCAAGGGGACATGAAGGGACATGGGGGGCATGGGAGGGGACACGGGGCACATGAGGAGACAGGGAGCTCATGAGGGGACGTGGGGCACATGAGGGGACACGGGGGCATGTTTGGGGACGTGAGAGCACAAGAAGACACGAGGGGATGGGGGTGGACATGGGGGGGCCCATGAGGGAAGATGGGGGCGTATGGGGGGATCATGAGGGGACATGGGGAGACCCAAGGGGACAGGGGAGCACACGAGGGGACAGGGGAGCATAAGAAGGGACATGAGGGGACACATGAGGGGACACATGAGGGGGACATGAGGGGACACGGGGCAACCATGAAGGGACACGAGGGCACATGGGGGCACATGGAGGGGTCCTCAGGGGACAGGGGAGCACATGAGG